GAGTTCCAAGTGCTGCCTGGATGGCAGACAGACAGCTCAGTGGCAGGAGGAATTCTCCAGAGATCTTTAACAAGTCTCAACTCCAAAGGCCCTGAATGCTGATGACATGCACAACCATCCTGAACCTGAGGTGATGGAAGGAGGAGCTGTCAAATCTGCTCAGATCTGGGATAGGACAAGGATACCTTAGGCAAAAAGGAAGAACAGAAAGCAGAGCTCTTTCCTAAGCACTTCAGAAAAAACCTCTTAAAACAACACCCAGGCAAAGCAGCAAAACTACTTGTTCAGAGAGCAAGAGGTCTCACAAGAGGGACAATTATGGGAGGATGAATGAAGGGATGAACTCTTCAACACACACTTCTGACTCAGAAAGGACTTCATCCAGCAAGTCTGGGCTGAAACTGACCCTTAGAGCAGCCCCCAGTCCTTCAAGAGCTCAGATAACTTCCCTGTCACTAATGCTCAGCATTCTGTGGATCACCAGGCCCTGATAAGGCAGTGCAAGAGCCACAGGAAGGTCATGTCTGTCCTTGCTGGAAATAACTCTCCAGCTCTACAAACCACCCTGAGCAATGCCAAGACACTCCCTGCATCCAAAGCATAAAGCCTTTCCAAAAGCACATTCCCCAGATCCCAAGCCCTTGTTGGGATCTCCTGGTGCTGAGAGCCACAAACACTGTCTGCAAATCCCCAGTCCCACCTGATGGAAAGAACAATCCACTATGGAGTGGCTGAGGGGGCTCAGCCTGGAGAAAAGGAGGCTCAGGTGAACCTTCTCACTCTCCGCCAGGAGGTGCAGCCAGGTGGGGTCAGGCTCTGCTCCCAGGGAACAAGGGGCAGGATGAGAGGAAACAGACTCGAGTTGGGCCAGGGGAGGTTCACACTGGATAGAGGAAAAACTCTTCATGGAAAGGGTTGCAAAGCATTGCAATAGACTGCCCAGGGCAGTGGTGGAGTCACCATCCCTGGAGGGGTTTCCCAGACGTGTAGATGTGGCACTTGGGGACATGGTCAGTGGTGGCCTTGGCAGTGCTGGGGAATGGTTGGACTCAGTGACCTTAGAGGGCTTTTCCAACATAAAAGATTCAGTGATTCTGTGATTCCATGCACTGGATGCAGCTCCCAAGCAGAGAAGTATTTCCCAAACCCACAATGAACACTTTGGAGAGCTCTCAGCACTTATACCCTTAACCTCAGCTGTCTCTGTACCCTCACAGCTATTGCAGTCCTTGGATAAGGCTGGAGAACCATCATTTCACCAATGCCTTGGAGGTCAGGCACAGTAGGACACTGGGATATTGCATGGGTGTCTCCCCTTTCCATTTCACATCATCTTTTGGCTTCCAAGCCCAGGTCAGCACTCCCTGTCTGCACAAAGCCACTCCTGGTGCATCCAGACCCATGGCCAGTGCACACACTGGAGCATGTCAGGGCATCCCTAAAAACAGGTGCTGCAGCCATTTCTCCAGACAGTTTCCAGAACAGCCCAGGAACCTTCCAAGGAGGTATTACAGGTACTACTGCAGGCAGGAACTGCAAACTCCTCTGAAAAAAAGCAGCAAGATGCAAGAAGAGGAGAGAGCTGGAGGGAAAACAAAAACCCCCAACCCAACAACCTCATTAAAGCTTTTCTCCTTCCTCTGCTTAACAAGGAGAATGCTTAATTAAGTCCTCCTTCAAGCCTTCCCCCTCAGCCCAGCAAGGCTCAGCAGAAAGCAGAGATTTAACAGTTTCCTTCACAGCACAGGACACCTCAGTGGGACAAGGATTTGCATATTCTAAAGGAGCAGAGGATTGTGGCTCAGCCTGACACAGTGGGGAGGGACAGAAGCAGCAGGAGGCACATCTCAGATCTGCTCAGGAATAAGGGAGAGCAGGAGGGGAAGGAGCAAGTGGCTGTTTACTCCAAGTCTGGAGCCTTCCCAAGGCAGGAGTTGGACTGTGTTATGCATAGACTTCTCAGTTTATTTGCAAGTCTCTTTCAGCTTATTAGGTCACTTTAACTGGCAACTGCTGCTGATTTTAAGCCCAATTATAGTTACTTCTACCTGGTGACACAGCCCCAGTTCTGCAGCCAATTCTCACCAATTAATGCCTTCAGAGTTGGTAGGACTTGCTATTCATGGCAATCACAAGCTTGACCTCAGAGTTACTGTTTCCTGCCATAATTTCAGCCTTGTTTGTTTTCACTGGAACATTTCCCTGTGTGCTCCCAAGTACTGGGACCACTTCTGTGCGCTGAGTTGAGATATACGTTAGAGACAAACTTTCAACTTTGGCCCACCTATAATAATAAATAAAAGCTCAGAGACTCACCTTTCTGGGGTAAAACTATCACCAAGGACCCTCTACTAGAATCCTGGGGAATTTGTCCTCAGCACCTCATGATTTAGTTCTCCCAAACAAGAAAGAAAAGGCTCCAAAAAAGCTCCAAGCCATCAGGCATCAGCCCATCATCCTGCAGTTTAGGGGACACCAAGGAGGACTTTCCGCTCTGCATCCCAGGTCAAACCTGGCCTTGAACACTTCCAGAGATGGAGCAGCCACAGCTTCTCTGGGCAACCTGTGCCTCACCATCCTCACAGGGAAGACTTTCTTCCTAATATCCAGTCTAAATCTCCCTTGTTTCAGCTAAAAGCCATTCCCCCTTGGCCTGTCACTGCTCATCCTTGCAGAAGCACCAGGCAGGAAGAAGATGCTCAGATGTGTCTGTGTTTGAGTGCAGTTACACAAGACACACAGCACTGCCCTGGGTGATTCAGTGCAGAGAAACTGAGCTTTGTCCCTGCAGCAGGGCAGGACTCACCAATGGCACAGCAAAAGCACGTGGGAAGGAGCTCTGAAGCAAGGGATGGATGTAGTAGTGTTCCAGAAAGTGTTCCAAGAGGGAGGAGATGCCACAGCTACAGCTCCAAGTCATTCAGCTAGAGCACAGGTCAGCTCAGTACTCAGTAGACACCTGCCAGCTGGTATACAGCAAAGTGTTCCATAACTGTTGTGACTCCATTAACCATGGGCACCAGGCAGCATTCCCAAGCCATCTCCTCACTCTGTGCCTAACAGAATGGATGAAGCAGGACTGACCCAGTACAGTTTGTGCCCTGAACTGAACTGGCACGAAGTTGTCAGAAAACACTAAAGAATGTTCTGCCTCAAGTCTGACTAATTCCCAGTGCCTCTGACAGGGAGCAGGAGCTCCAGCTGGAACTGCTGTGCTCCTCTCTGAATGGGTAATGAAGTTTGAGAGCAGCAGCTCAGCCTCCAGCCAGCACTAGGTCCTACAGGAACCTCCCCCAGCAAAGGACTTCCCTGAACTGCAGATTCTTGGTTAGGTCTCATTTGTCTAGGAGACTTAGTTGAGTTTTAATAATGTCACTAAAATCAACTTCAAAGAAGGTTGGAAAGCTTTCTGACTGACAGCTGTCCATCAGCTGTGTGAGGTGGGAGAGCTCCACATGTAGGAGTGGGTGGATAAACCCTGCCTGATGAGCAGTTCAGCCTAATCCTTAACCTTCTCTCCAGCAAAGGCTTCTCCTTTTCCCTTTCCCTTTGCACTTCTCAGTCTCCCCTAAGCAAACCCAGCTTTACTTACACCACCTGTGTGCCAATCAGCACCTTCACAAGCCACTTTGAGGCCACACAACCTTTCCAGGGAAGGATCTAGTCACCACACTCACTCAGGCTCCCACAACAAAGCAGGACCAGCTGATGCCCAGAGCCACACAAGAAGTTTTGCAGGTTGGGCTCCATTAGGGATGACACCCAGGATCCTTCAGGCTTCCAAACAGCAACTCCCTCAGATGCTGCAAGTGGAGAATCAGAGCCTCTTGCTAAGTGCAGAGCCACAGACTTACTGCACAAGACCTCGTGTGTGTTAAATCCCCTCTCGGAGCTCCTTTCCTGGGTGCAGGCACCTGCTGACAGGTGTGATCAGTCCCATCCTGAACCCTGGGCAGGGTGAGTTGAGCTCTGAGGCAGTACAGCCACAGGCCCAGCTCAGGCCAGGGCAGCCGGAGGGGTAAAGGCTACACCAAGGAGGCACATACAGCCAGGAGAAGGTTATGTTGCTTTAGGAAGTAGCATTCAACCCAACCTCTGCCTCAAACACTGCCTTAGCTTCATCCCAAGCACAGACAAAAGAGTCAACCTTAAAGCACCAGAGCTGTGCCCTGCCCTGACAGAAAAGCTGCCAATACTCATGTTCTGCAAAGGGGTTCTGCCTCTACTGCAGGAGAGAGAACAGCAGCAAACTGTGACAGCCCCAAGCTGGGGATGCTGACAGAAGGCTGCTGTCATTTTCCACAACTCCTTCCCTAGGGTTTACCCCAAAGCAAGAGACCAGTGAAGATTTCCACTCCCCCTTGCACCCCCCTGAAGGTTTTGACAAAAAAAAACCCACTGATCAAAGAGCCTTTGTGCATTTCTAAACCTGTCAATTTTGCTCCAAGATTTAAAGCTTTAAAGAGTCCAAAACATCTATTTGAAATTGTCTATCCAAACAGGTTTTTTAATATTTAAAAAAAAAGCCTTAGAAATAAAATATTTAGATTTTTCTCAAGTGAGGCATTCCAACAGCTCCAGACAGGAGTGCTGGAGGGGAGGAGGAAATCCAGTTCTTGAGTTTGACAGGAACCTTTTTTCCCTTTGTTTCTTTTAATTGGCAGCAAACCAAGACTACAGAGCTCTTTCCCCCCTGGCTCTGACAAGGAATAACTGGGATGAGCAGCACAGGAAACAACAAACCTGAACTTACTCAACTCCTGGCAGTTCCAGGGCCCTGTCTCATGCCAGCTTTGCCCTGCAGGAAACATTCCCCAAGCTGATGATGCAGCAGGATTCTACCCCACCATCCTGTTCTTCCCCTCCCATCACCTTCCACTTTGCCTCCAAAACCTTCTCATGGAGAAGAGGAGCAGGTTCTCCACCTGAGAAGAGTTCAGGCATGACAGTGGTTTGAGGAGAGCCTTTTTCCCAACCTGCTTACCTTGATTTCTGCTCAGTCAGAACTGAGAGCAAAACACTCGGCGCCACATTTCTTTCTCCTTTTCCTCGTATGCCTTATGGCAGCTGCAAAGTAGAGCACAGAAAGGCATCAGGGCCTGGCCCACAACCCAAAACCAGCCATTATTTCTTCTAGATGAATAAACTAGCCACATGTCAGAATGTGCTGCTAGCAAATTCCAAGCCCTGCAGGGAAGGAGAGGTGAAATGCTGTGCTTCACCCCTCAACCTGAGGTCTCAGCTTTGCTGGAGTCTAAGTAGTTGCTTTTGGGAGTCAGATGTTTCCTCCACCACTTTGGGAAGCATGTGGCAGTGCAGAGGAACCCCAGCTGTGGGCTAGTTTTGTGTTTCCTTGGGCAAGCTCCTTCAGCATCCAGGAGACACTGTGCCCTACTCCAGGGAATCTGGGCAGGAGACAGCTGGGATCTGTGTCAGGACTAAGTGGATGACCAGGCAGATGGTTCCTGCTCCATTCTCACCTCCCTGCCAGTGGCACAGCATGGCAAAAGCTTCCCAGACTGCTCCACTTGAATCCAAGCACAGCATCCTCTGCTCCCTGTGCTCTCACCTCACTGGTGAGGAATCCCTGAGCCACAGGGTGACTCAGTTTGGGCACAATCCCAGGGATCAAAGGCTGCCCACGAGCTCAGCTTTGCTGCATCTGCTACCAAATAAGGCCAAAAGCAAAGGTTTTTGTGCAGCACACCAGAACCAGCCCCAGGGAGAGGTTGGCTCAAGCTCTCTTATCTTCTGCCATCAGCACCTCTGGGTCCAGAACCTCAGGGGGTTTGATTCAGTGAAATCCCAGCACAGCAAATCTCTCGGTAAATCTGACAGATGTTACCACTGCTGTCCACACTGAGCAGGTCAGGGATGCCCATCTAGACTGTGGATGGCACATTCTCATTCCTAACAGAGCAGGAAATCCAAGAGCTCCTTGTTTAGAGGAACAGATCCATGCCAAATATTAGATCAACCCCTTTCACTCCGGATATGATACAACACAACCCTTCCAACACAATTCCCAAATCCAGCAGCAGAATTTGCACCAAGACCATCACAGCTGGTACCAGACACACATCCCTCTCCCTGGATCCTGCCTGTGGTTCTCCAGGGAAGTGAACTTGGCAGAACCTGGTGCAGCTGATAAACAGACGCTTTGCAAAGCTTTGTTTCAGGCAGCAAAAAGAGCTGCTGATTAACACAAAACATTCCTTTTAGCACAGCGTAAATGTACTCAGTCAGGAAGTGAAAAGCCTCTATGAACAAGACCTTGATTCATATTCCATTTCTGAAGCATTTGCCAGATCACACTGAATGTTCTCAGGCAAAGCAGGTTGGCAACATTATAGACCTGGCCTGAGGTGAGGCCTCGTTAACAACACCCTGTGACACTGTCCTCAACTGTTCCACACTAATTCCACTCTGTCATAGGTAAAACACTCCACCTGCAGGGCTGCCTCCAGCTCTGGGGTCCTGAGCACAGGAAGGACATGGAGCTGCTGGAGTAAGGCCAGAGAGGCCATGGAGATGCTCCAAGGGCTGGAGCAGCTCTGCTCTGGAGACAGGGAGAGTTGGAGGTGTTGAGTCTGGAGAAGAGAAGGCTCCAAGGAGACCTCAGAGCCCTTTCCAGTGCCTAAAGGGGCTCCAAGAGAGCTGCAGAGGGACTTGGGACAAGGCATGGAGGGACAGGACAAGGGGGAATGGTTTCCCACTGCCAGAGAGCAGGGACAGATGGATACTGGGAAGGAATTCCTCCCTGTGAGGGTGGTGAGGCACTGGCACAGGTTGCCCAGAGCAGCTGTGGCTGCTCCATCCCTGGGAGTGTTCCAGGCCAGGTTGGATGGGGCTTGAAGCAACCTGAACTACTGGAAGGTGTCCCTGCCCACAGCAGGGAGTGGAATGAGATTAAGTTCTCTTCCAACCCAAACCAGTCTGTGATTAGAAGTAAAAGCCACACCAATGTTAAGGGGCACTGAAGCAGGAATTCTAAGGGAACATGTGAAGTCTCTAAAATCAGCCCTTCTAGCCCTGCACACACCCCAAACCTCCATGAGCAGCCAGCCAGCCCCTAGTTTAGAGCTCCCCAGCAATTTGGTACCTCCATATCCAGAGCCTGATCAGGATGAAGTGGTTTATTTCCAACCAGTAGCTAATACTGGCTTCAAGCTCTCTGTGCTTCCAGCACAAGTTTGTAGACATGGTGTTACCACAGTGTCAAAGACAATGAGAACACAAAGGACAGTGACCTGACAGAACATCCCTCCACCAACCCAACCCCTGGAGAAAGCACTCAGCCCACCAGACTGCCTTTTCCAGCAGCACCAACAACTCTTCTGAGATGTTACTTCTGCCTCCAAACCTTTCTGTAAGTGCCTGGCAGCACCACCCCAAAGAGGGTTCAGATTCAAGGGCTGTTTTGTGCACTCTGGAGCTAGGGATGGGATCACTCCTGTGAGCAGTGCTAGGAAGATACTTTTGGGAACCAGCTAGTGCTTCTGGTTTCAAAGGGAAGAGCAGAACGAGGGCAGAGACAGCATTAGTCATGTTTTGGTGGGGCTGAGGCTTCAGTAAAGCTGGCAGGATTGTCCTGCACTCAGCCTGCAGGCAAAGTGTTCCCTCAGGACTGCTCAACTTACGACCTCCAAAACAGCAAGAAATTCACTTTTAAAGAACATTAGCATTTGTAGCATTGCACAGTGAAGTATTTACAGTGCAGAAAAGCTGCTGTAATTGCCAAACACACCTTAAAGGGCATGAAAACCACATGTATCAATCCAGACCAGTATCAGCTGGAGCTCCAGCAGCTGCATTTCACTGGGTTTGAGGCACTTTGGCAGCCCCAAATCCCTGTCCTCACAACTTGGGGAACACCCCCCCCCCCAAAGAGACTGGAATGAGTGGGTGCTCCCAGCTCCTCAGATTGTGCCTGCCAAATGTTTCAAGGAGTTTTCTCCCCCTGCATTGTCCCAAGTCACTCACTGCCCCAATAGTTTGGTGTTCGGGGTTTGTAAACATGGTAGATATTTTGGAGTGGCTGTTCCAGCCTGTCCAAGCACTCTCTCTGCCTCAGGGATGGAAAGGAAGGCTCTCACCGTGCCAACTTCTCCAGCTCCTTGTTAATATTCTTGTCAAGGGGTTGGATCTTCTGAGCTCTGATCAGGAAATCCCAGGATTTGCTGTATTCCCCCAGGCAGAGACTAGCCTGGTATAGAAAGAAGACAGAATGCAAGATAAACACAGACCCACTGCCCTTCTCCAGACATGTGCAGCAATAACATCCTCAAGTCAGATGCAGGTAGCTCAGGAATCCCACAGGAAAAGCATGGAGTAAGATTCCCAGAGACCCTCAACCTCAACTGCTGCATCAGCCCAGAATTCACTGGTACCCTTGGTTCAACCCAGGCTCTCTCCACAGCCAGGGGCATTCCCTGATGTGCCTACCAGAAGGATATATCCTTGCCCACCTGGCCACATCTGAACAGTGCTTTGGCATTTCCCTGGTCCAGCTCCAAGGCCCGTTCCCCATATTTCAAAGCTTGGTCAGGACGTTCCAGTCTGAGGTAAGTGAGGGACAGATTGAGGAGCAGCAGCACCTTGGAAGTATTGATCTGCTTCAGCTCTGCTTCACTGCTAGGGCTGCGATCCAGGATGGATAGTGCCTGGACAGAGAGGGAAAAACAATCAATACACAATAAATCCATTATGGAAAGGGAGAAATCCATCTCATGCCAGAGCTACAACCATGTTTCTGTCCACCTAGGGCAGTTAAAATAATCAGGACTGTGAATACAGGGAATTCCCAGCTTGCTAACCAGCTCAGCCATGACATCACAAGTTTAGGAATTTATCAAGAAACTTGAAATCAGTAGAATAAGAAAAAATTACATCCAGGGCTCAGAATTTAAGGACATGGAAGAGAAATCTTCCAGGGAAAAAGACAAGTTGAATTATTTTTGTTTCACAGATACCAAAGAAAAGCAACTCTGGATCATCACCACCTCTGAAACACTGGTAGATGCTTTTCAGTTTGGGAATAACTGAGTATTTCCCTGCCTGGAGCAAGGTGAGGGCCTCAGCCTGGAGGAAAGGAGGCTCAGGAAGGACCTTGCTGCTCTCTAGAACTCCTTGCCAGGAGGTGCAGCCAGGTGGGGTCAGGCTCTGCTCCCAGGGAACAAGGGACAGGACCAGAGGAAACCCTTCAAGCTGTGCCAGGAGAGGTTTAGGTTGGGTATTAGGGAAAATTTCTTCATGGAAAGGGTTGTAAAGCATTGGAACAGACTGCCCAGGGCAGTGGTGGAGTCACCATCCATGCAGGGATTAAGACACGTGTGGATGTGGCCCTTGGGGCCACGGTTAGCGGTGGCCTTGGCAGTGCTGAGGGAACAGTTGGACTCAATGACCTCAGAGTGTTTTCCCAACCTAAATGATTCTGTGACTCTATTCCTTGGTCTACCACTGCTCACACAAACCAGGTGTCCAAGTCCTGTGCTTCACCAACAAACTATGCCAGGGAAACAGAATGAACCTATTTGATCTCTGCTTTGTACCTGCTGTACTAAGCTAACAATCCTCCCTGCTCCCACAGCGTCCCCCAAGTCCTCCTGGTGCCATACCTTTTTGTATCTGTCTTTGGCAATCCTAAAGTGCTGCATATTAAAGAAGTAGTTGCCAAACTCTCTCTCCACGGTTGCCACTTTCAACACCTTCTGTAGTGGAAATGTATCCCGCTGCTCCTGGGTAAAGAAATACCTGGATTTCAACTCAAACAAAAGGAAACAAGCAGAGAGCTCAGGCCCGTCCTGCACAGTCCTTTTCTATTGACAGAGCAGGAGACAGTCCCTTGCCAAGGCCAGTGTTCAATCATGTGGCATCTCCCTTAGCCTCACTCAAGCATGACAGTGTTCTTGTGCTGATAATTCCTTGTGAAGGTCAGGAAGCTCTCCAGGCCCAAAGTGGGGCTGAA